GGGGGGGGGGGGGGGGGGGCTTTGAACAAAATATATAGAAAAAAAGAGTTATTCCTCGTTTTAGTCCATGTAAGTGCACGCTTGCTCTGTGTATGTGCTACTTCAAATGATCCATCAGTTTGTGGTGATATGAGTTATGAAGTTTTGGGAGTATTAGACACTATAATGAAAATAAAGAGGAGAAAAATCAGCACAATGTAGAATAGTAAATCATTTTCTGTATGATAAAAAATAGAAAATGTGTTGTTTTTCTTTAAGACAATGAAATAATTCTTTTCGTTAAAAATATGAAATGTATTATGTAACAAACAAACAAAAACAGAAACTTGTTTCATGACAAGATTAATTTATTTGTAAGAAAAAACTGATTTCTTTTTTAGTACTCTTCCTATCCCAAATTAAATAGCCGGTTTATTATTCATGTGGTTATATTTCATTTACGAAGTATTTTTATTTACTTTTTTTTGTTATTCATTTGATAAAATAATATAGTCATGTTACATCTTTTTTTCTACACCCTTCGTTTCATTTAAATCGCCTGTTTCGGTTTACGGCGTTTGACTAACGTTATTTCAAATATAATTTATTTTAGAATCGGGATGTAATTAAAAAAATAAATTTATATATGTAAAACTTAGGTCAAAAGTTCTACAAAACAAGAGGTGACACGTCTGTTTTTTTTAAACTTTTTTATCTCTTTATTTACCTTTCCTAGAAAAGTTTTTTTTTAAATTTATTTAAATTTTTATAATATTTTTAAAAATTTAAAATCTGTGTTTGAAATTTTAAAAAATTAACATATAATTCATCTATATCAAATTAAATATTTTAACCTTTTGTTTTATAAAATAATATTTTTGGTAAGTTCAAAAAGAAAATCAAAAATAAAAATAAAGAAAAATGAAAAATGAAATGAAAAAAATGGAAACATCTAAAAAAAGTTATACAAAAATTTTTTTCAGAACGCCTAAAAGTCTTTAGAAATGGGATGTTTAACAAGGATATTCATTTTTAATTTTTGTTTTATTTTATTTCTTATTTTATTTCTCATTGTTTGAAGTTCTCAAAACAAGTTTTTTATTTCCTATTTTAGAAAACAACAAATAAAAGTTAATAAAATTAAAAACAAGAATAATTTTAAAATTTAAGAACATTATAAAACGAATTTTGAAAATAAATTAAAAAAAACTTTGATTAATAAAAGAAATTGATGGTGTTAATTGTTTCGTCCAGTTTTATCATTTTTATTTTTTCAAAATGATAAATGAGCCTAACAATCACTAAAAATATGAACAAGCTATTTTCGAAGTGAAAACTCAAATCACGAATCTTTTCCGGAAGTACCATACTAACGAGAAAATTTTGTTAATATCGGGGATCTGTATATTGTACATAATATTGACTTTGTAGTCATGAATGAAGCTTTTTAGCTATATAAAAAAGAAAATAATACCTCAGAGTTCATGACTTATTTCTTTACTCAAGTGAGAGAGAGAATATAGTTTTTTGAGCTTTGCTTTCCCTCATACGGAGTATTAAAGGTGAAAGATCATTTTTATAGTGAGAGATGAAGAATTTGTTATAAAGAGTGTGAGGTTATGATAGAGGTATATTTGGAGAGGAATGAATGATGAAAGTTGTTATGGTAGGAGTAAATGGTGGGAGTAATTATGACAGATAAGGATGATAATTATAGTAATATTAAGTAGAAAATTTGGATCGAGATGTTCGGGCCAAATAATATTTCTCATCAGAAACAAATAAGAGAAAAAACAAAAAGAAAATGAAAAAAATAAGAAATGAGCCATAGTGCCTTAATGTAATTTCGAAAAGAGGCACCAATACTTCCATCTTCACCGGAAAAATGGCCGGAAAATGATCTTATGGGATATGAGTGCAGTGTTTTGAAACTACAATGACTCTAAAAATAAGTTTTAAAAGCAAGGCAGATATTGATATCTATTTTTTAAACTATGAGAAGTATATTTGGCTCAATTGTAAATCATCAAAATGCTAATGCAAAAATGTAATGTATAAAAGTGGTACATAAATAGTACAGACTTTATAAAATGACACAAGTGTTACTAGTGTCATTTACTTGCACTAATTAATTTGAGATATTTAGGGTGTCATGTGTGTAAAAATGATACTCCTTAGTTAATATCCCTAACCCACCCTTATATCCCCACCCCAGCCCCCACCCTTGGCCCCTTCCGCCCCGCATTTGTCGCTGGTCATCAACGAGAGAGAGCGCGCGAAAATCTTTGACCCTCCCTCTCCCCTCTCTCCTCTCTGATTTTCACTCTCTCATTTTTCTTTCTTCTTCTCTTTAGGGAGGGCAGGGGAGATTTCTCAGCGCAGACCCGATGAGCTGGTAATTTGGGTCGGGGAATTTCTTCTTTGCTCCGAATCCCAATCCCGGGTCATCATCGGCCCCACCTCCCCCAAGATCCGTTTCTTTCTTCATTTTGATGGGTTTTGGGGGGTCGCTATGGGCTGCGTCAGCTCCAAGCAGGCTCGCTCCGACGTCTTCCCCGCTCGCGATTCCTCCCCTCACCGCAAGCTCGGATCGTCGTCCCGCGAAATCCGTGTCGACCCGCCAGAGACCGACAAATGGGAGGAACCCAAATCTCCTCCCCCTCCTGGGAATTCGACGGCGTTGAGGACCGAGACTCCTCCCGAAAACCTGCCTGATTTTGGGGTTTGCGCAGGAAGGTTGACGGAATGCGAACAGATTGCCGCCGGTTGGCCGACCTGGCTCACTTCCGTTGCCGGAGAGGCCATAGACGGCTGGCTTCCTCTCAGAGCTGACATGTTCCAGAGATTAGATAAGGTAATTTCTTTATCTTTTCTCATTTCAATCAAATTCCCGAGGAAGTCTTTCAAGAATTAGGTTTTAAATACCTAATTCCAGAGCTTTTAACTTTGCAGATTGGACAAGGTACATATAGCACCGTGTACCGAGCACAAGACCAAGAAAGTGGCAAAATGGTCGCCTTAAAAAAGGTCAGGTTCGACAATTTCCAGGCGGAGAGTGTTAGGTTTATGGCCAGAGAGATAACAATCCTTCGCAGGCTTGATCACCCGAACATCATGAAGCTTGAGGGTATAATAACTTCCAAGCTCTCCTGCAGCATATACCTGGTTTTTGAATACATGGAACATGACCTCGCTGGGTTGCTGTCATGTCCTGAAATCAGATTCACCGAGTCACAGATCAAATGCTTCATGAAGCAGCTAATGTCTGGGCTGGAGCATTGCCATTCAACTGGGGTCATACATAGGGACATCAAAGTCTCCAACATCTTGGTAAACAATGAAGGGGTTCTGAAGATTGCTGACTTTGGGCTTGCAAACTTTGTGAGTGCAAAGAACGTGCAGCCGCTGACCAGTCGCGTGGTGACTCTCTGGTATCGCCCACCTGAGCTGCTACTGGGCTCCACCAATTATGGGGTGACCGTTGATTTATGGAGCGCGGGTTGCGTTTTTGCTGAGCTCTTTTGTGGGAGGCCTTTCCTTAAAGGGAGAACCGAGGTCTATGATCATATGTTAATCCAAATGTTTTTTCATATTATGTTTTTTTCTTACCCCAGACCCTACTTTTCTGAGATTTTAATGGGTTTGTTGTTTTCATGAACTCATCTCTATTTACTGCTGCGCAGGTGGAACAACTGCACAAAATCTTTAAGCTTTGTGGGTCTCCGTCAGAGGATTACTGGAAAAGATCTAAACTTCCACTTGCAACTGTGTTCAAACTCCAATATCCTTATGAGAGTACACTCCGAGAACGGTGCAGAGAATTCCCAGAAGCCGCCGTGGACCTCATAGAAACACTTCTTTCAATTGAGCCTTATAAGCGTGGGACTGCTTCATCCACACTTGCTTCTGAGGCAAGTTTCTTTTTTCTTGTTTTGTTTTTTGCATCCACAAGCCATTCATTGTGCTGTTTTGAGTTAATACCAGGTTTAGGGGACTAAATGGGATATCATTAACTTCTTTTTATTATAAAGTGATCATCTCTATAATCTATATTTGTCTCCTCTTGCAGTATTTCAATTCTGCGCCATATGCTTGTGATCCATGGAGCTTGCAAAAGTACCCACCAAACAAAGAGATTGATGCAAAAGTTCGGGAAGAAGAACGAAGGTGATGCTTTATTCCTTTCTTTGTACTTCNTTTTTTGCATCCACAAGCCATTCATTGTGCTGTTTTGAGTTAATACCAGGTTTAGGGGACTAAATGGGATATCATTAACTTCTTTTTATTATAAAGTGATCATCTCTATAATCTATATTTGTCTCCTCTTGCAGTATTTCAATTCTGCGCCATATGCTTGTGATCCATGGAGCTTGCAAAAGTACCCACCAAACAAAGAGATTGATGCAAAAGTTCGGGAAGAAGAACGAAGGTGATGCTTTATTCCTTTCTTTGTACTTCAAACTCTTCATTCCCCCGTTAAATTGAGTCTATTGAGATATCAATTTGAATAGTATCTGCATTGCAGAAGGAATGCAATTTCTGCGTCAAGAGGATTGGGAGCTTCCAAAAATCCAAGAAAAGTTCGAAATAATTTACGAGAGTCTATCAGCTTCAGTAGAGCTTTTCCAATGCACGTATGTCTCCATCACTCTATGTACAACACAATAATTTTCTAAAAATTAGCCTCTACAACTACTAGATGCCTCTAAAACAATGGGTTTGTATGGGTTCTTTTCATATGTATATGCTAACTAGTGTGCTTTTATAAAGGAGATGGAGGCGAACATTCCATATAACCGCAGAGACAACATTGGTGGTGGCAACCGTTGTGCCACTAAAGGAGCCACAGTGTCACGGGTGTCATTAAACCAATCATACGATACAACGTCCGTGGTTTCTCAGGCGGCGACAGATTTGTCTCAGGCCGAAACTGCTTGCTCTGCCCCTCTTGAAATGTCTGCCAGTTTTACAAAGGCAAAGAACCAAAAACAGGACTTTCCAGTTTCACGAACCCACACTAACACTAGTCATGTCAACAATAATCCAAAAGGTCTAAAATGTAATGTCATAGTAACCCCCCCTTCAGATCGGTTCCGTGCTGAAGCTACAAGAAGCCCTGATATGGCTGAAAAGCGTGCCCTTCGCAAGCACCGATTGAAATCAGGAAGGCAACAGTCGTTTGACTCGTCTGATATATATCACTCAAGAAAGCCATCACTGGTTAGAACTTAGAACTCCTCCTTTTGTATATTTCGCGTATCAATCAACGTTTAGGGACCCGTTTGGTAAGAGTTTTTTGGTCGAAACGGGTAATCTTAGCTGAATTTTCTTAAAAGGAAAGTGTTTGGTCATATCAATTTCACATGTCAAAAGTTAATGTTACGGACTGAAACAAGTTCCAAAGTATGAGACTACATCGATTATATAGGCAACAGATGAGGGGTTTATAGACCAAACAAGCTATAATTTTTGGGATGAGTTTTGGAGAAACTTCCACTAAGAGAAACATTTCTGCCATGGTTTTGAATGATGTGCAGGAGAATGATGATCAACAAGGAAGTACTGTATTTTCAGGACCATTGTTCCAACATCCAAACAGATGATACTAGGCAGGATATCAGAACTCGTCAAGCTGTTCGTAGATCACGTTTCTATAGAGGTAAAAGAAAGTACATGGCAGTCTCTTTTTTTCTCCAAGGGCCTGTTTGGTAAGGTTATCTGGCTGTCTAATGAACTTTCTGAAAGGAAAATCATTTGGTAACGTTCATTTCAACCTCATTATTAAGTCAAAACCTACCAAATAAGCCAGAACTGGCTACCAAACAGAGCCTACCCTACCATCCAAACATGAAGATGTAATTTGTTTGGTATTTTTTTGCAGATTCATAACTTGGAATGAACTAAGGAAGATTTGTATGTATCCACCAACTCAGCATTCTTCGTGGTTTTTTTTGTGTACTTCTCCTTGGGATTGCCCCTGTGCTTTTACCATAGAATGCAGATCAAATGCTGCAATCACCACAGTATTTTGCCTCCAAAAGACGAGATCGAATGAAAAAACTCAATGTGTTGAACGCATCCATGTATATATTGTTTTGACAATGCATTGATATTGTCCTGTGTAAAGTACAGAGCAGTTTGTTATAAAATTCACTTTTTTCCCCTCTCAATATGTTTACCATTTTGTTGTTAAATTTCTCTGGCTCTAATAATTTTCCATTTTTCTTTATCTTTGTTTGGTGTTTGCAATTGTAGTAAAAAAGTTCGTTTAAAGCCGACTTCATGTCAAAATGCACACAACATGCAGAGTCCATGTAACTTTTTTCTTAAAAACAACATTTTCTAGACTACATGCTCTTTGATAGGGTTGTTTGGCATACACTTATGTTCTATATCTGTTTTTAAGTGAATGTTCAATGGAAAAGTTTTAAAAAAACTGGCATAGGAAAATACTTTTTGGATAAATGGCAGAAAGTTGAAAAAAAATCAACTATTCTAACTGGAATCAATTGTTTTCCTGGTGGTGGGGACTGGGCTTTCTAGCTCTCCTCATTCAGTTGGGATCCTTCCATAGTTGAGAAGATTCTAGGGAATTTTAAAATTTTGTGAAGATGTGTGAAATCCTCTAGAAGTGTGTAAGATGTTGTGTAGTTTTTCTAGAATATTCTAGAATAGTAAGACATCCTCTATAGAAATTGTCTAAAAAAACCTAAGCTAGAATCAATTGTTTCTGCAGAGAATGAGTAAATATCTCCAAAGCACCATATCTTGCTATATACTGTTGAGTAAATAAATATATTAGAACAAATTAAATAAGAAATTGAACTCAAAATTAGTAGTAGAAAACTATTACATGGAATTCAACATAATTTACAAGATTCCATGGCCACCTGACCCTATGGCATGATCACATACATAACAACTCATGCTTAAGGGAAGAAACAAGGCTCTTAATCCTCCATTATGATACATGTAAGAAAAAAAACATCAGAAATACAGTTGAATCCTGATAATGGCTTATGTTACAACATTAGACTCCATTTAAGAATCCAATCTAGAACAGATATTTCCTCATGCATCTGTTAGCAGGCCGCGGATGCCACTCTGCGAAGTCTCGTTGTCCTCTACTCTCATCAGAGTTGGGATTTTCCCCTTATCTGCAAAATCGATCTTGTTTAACCTCAAACAACACAGCACTTTCTCAGGCAACTCCTCTTGTTTCTGCGCCTGTTAATGCGCAAAAAAAACCAGGTGTGAAGAAATAAGGCGTCTTGAAGATCTCATGATAAAAGGTGAACATTATATGAAGAAAAAGTGACCTGAATTGTCAAGCCAAGATCCAAAATCCCCTCTTTTAGGCGTTCTCTAAATGCATCGAGTCCCTTCCTTGCTATGTAGCTAAAACGATGGATGTCCAAATCAATCTCAAAATAATTTGGACCCTGCAAGAACAAATATTTAAGACTAAATGGGATCCTCTTATTGGTTTTGGGATGAAATCTCGCAGTTTTACAGGATGTACATATAGGTTTTGAGTTTTGATAATGGTGACCTGGTAAAAGCTGTGTTGGGGGCGGGAAAGCACGGGTTTTTCATTGTAAGCATTGAGGAGTTTCCTCTCGGTTGAATTCGATACAAGGCCATCTGGATTGACGACCCCAACCATGATCTTCAACCTTTCTCTATAGGGAGCCATTGAATCTTTTGCAAAGCCTCTAACCTTTTCCATCTCATCTCTAACTAATCTCTAAGGAAAAGAACAATTCAATAATCACATTTCAACATCAAAACACACCAGCAGTGAAGGAAATGAATGCCATTTGTTCACAAAGACAACATATGCTTTTTTTTATACCTTAATGCTGTCTTGAAACTGAGGGGAGATTTCTCTCTCGTAATCTTCAGAGAGTTTGAAATACAACACTAGGCTCAATCCCTCCCCATCACAATCTCCGAGGAACATTGCAGGTGGATAAGAAGGCAGCTGAAAAGTTGTGGTTTTCAATAACAATAACAACAGTAATTTTCATAATTTTCAAGAACATTATGTTTTTTCTGTACCTGAATGTTAACAATGAGTAAAGAAGGGAGATTTGGATCTGTGCTTGCTGAAGGAAGCTCGAGATATTGCGCGATGTGATTGATCTTCTTTGGGCAGACAAACAGATCAACTCCAATAGGAGTGTAAGGACACAAGTTTGGAGCAGGAAGTTTCTTCTTGTCTCTGGAGATTGAACACAAGGAAAATGTGAGAATGTACACACTGCACAATTTCTGCCTAGCATTCAAAAACGCGACTTTTTTTTGGGACAAATGTAGGATTAAAGATACTTACGTGAAATAACTTTCAGCACGGAGCTTGAAATTTGAGGGTGGAATGAATGACCAAGTTCCAGGTGTTGGTTTTTCTTCTGTACAACGGGGAATTATAAGACCAGCTCTTGGACGGTAAAGGTACTTTTTTGGTGTACCTATCAGCAGAAAATTCAATGTTGAAGTTGTCAAGGAACCAACTGAACCAGAAGCTAAAGTCTATGGTAGTCATGGGCTCAAGAAAGGTTTTATACTATAAAAAAAAGGTAAAGGAACTTACAGAGAGCTTCGGGTTCTTGTGCATCAATCTGTGTCCTGGTGACAGACAGCCTGATGACAGTGGATTTCCTGGTCTGAGAACAGAGTCCTAAGTTTGCCGCATTCATGATCTTGTCGTTGAAGCTGAAAGATGTTCCCAGTTTAGGCAACACAGACTTGAACGCGTCGCCGTGGCCCTTCTCATGACCAAATTGTCGCTCGGATTTGGAGGAATTGAAGCTCCCGTAGCCGCGGTCCAGTTTCTTGTTGTGTTGTTCATGATAGCCTGTGGCAGCAGTTAAAAGGGCAAGTCCTTTTGGCTCCTTGAGGTGGTCAGCTATGTCTGTGAGCTTGCTGTCTGTATTGTTGCTGCTGACATCCAGCTTTAGATATCTTTCATGGATTTCATACTGCACTACTTGTCCACTTAGCCTGTTTGGGAATAACTCTGTAAATGACCAGAAAGAAAGAGAGAAAGAAAGGAAGATAATTAACTCTTTGTGTGCATTATTGATGGTGCTAAAAGTAGCATTTTCCAAAATAAAAAAAGGGTACTAATTAACATGAATATATAGAACTTACTACATTTATTGAAAGTTAAGATTAATAGATATAATACCTCCATAGACACTACAGAAGTCCTCATCTGACTCTGAGTCTAGAATGCTAGTAGTGTCAAACCATGCCTCCTCTTGGTTAACTACTGCAAGCTCACATGTGGATAAAAATTAGTGGCACTAAAAAATAGTGAGACAATATATTTTGAGACAATGTAATGGATCAGTTTAATTTTGTGCAAGTAATTTGAACAGACTTTTAGGAACGGAGTATATTTATCTTGGAAGATATTTTAAAAAAGTTATTTCATTTTTTCCTTTTGTTACTTAAATTAGGGTCAAAGTCCATTCAATTAAAATCAAATAAGTCAAACAAGACGAATATGATACTCAGTACTACCTACTCCCTCCGTTCTTGAAAATACTTCCCATTTTGACCAAGTGCTAAAATAAGAAAGTGTTAAATTGTAATTGACTTCCAATTTTATCTTTGATAATTGATATTATTTGGTAAAAGTAAGATGTTGTGAAAGTAATTTTTAATAGAAAGTGGAAGTGCTTTAGTGGAAGAAAAAAATTGAATATGAAGTGTTGAAGTAATTCATAAGGTCAAAATTCGTTTTTTATAAGTAGAATTATTTACCATTGGATCCTCTTTGGGTATGGTGCCATTGGCGCTGAGTAAGGTGGAAGGTGGAGTTTGAGACGGCGGATCGCCGGCATGTGGTGGTGGTGGTGGTGTGGACAAACTCGCTGACGGAGAAATCTGCAACTCCATCTCCGCCGCCCCGTATGGTGGCCGCCTTCCCCCGCCGCCCCCGCTTGAACAGCCGCTTCCTCCGCATCCCGATCATGTGCGATTGCGTCGACACACAAGCCCCCATTATATATATTGTTCTTTAATCAAAACATTAAAAAAAATATGAAATATGAATGTATGATAGCTGGAATGCATGTATTTATGCATTTAGACATGCAGTATTAAAATATTAGCGTAAAAAGATTAATAAAAACAAAAGGCAAAAAAACAAAAAAACAGAAGAATAATAATGTGCATTATTCATTTTTTCTCACAAGAAGATGAATGCAAGAAATTAAACATAACAGATGATAGAATAATCTAATGAGGTATGGTGCACCTTCAATTCAATGTTCCCCTGTCCGGCCGGCCTGATAATCACCCACCCACCAGATCTGCAGAGAATAATGATTCTTAATTTAATTTAATTTTAACATATATACATTGCTGAGATATTATGTATTAGACATATTAAATACTTACAGAATAAATTAGTTTCGTTAATTCATTATGATTACCATTTGAATAATTGTGGGATGGGAGATTTATGACAGCAGCCGGAGGATAGGGCGGCGATGGGTGGTTTAGTTCGTGCGTGTCTCCGTCGTCTCTCTCTCTCTCTCTCTCTCAGGAATTGGAATTGAAGAAGATGATGATGATGATGAGTTGGAGAGAGAGAGAAAGAAAAAGCAGTAGAATAAGGGTAGCTATATATGCTCCCACCCCATCCAACCACGTACTTGTGCTATATCATGCAATGCATTATGCATACATACCCCCCCCCCACACACACAGGGATTTAGGGATTCATCGAGTCAGATGACACAACACCCACAATACTGAGTTCACCATACTGCAATACAAAGCTCACTGAAACGCAACACAAAACAATCTGAACACCAAAACTCACATTTTTAATTAAAAGCCAAAATAGTACTACCGGTCAGCCACTGGTCCACGACGCATGTGCGGTCAAAACTGTAAAGCTTACCAACTGCCAATGCAAAGCTCACCACGAAATAATGCAAAACTTACCACTTTTTCAAATAAAAAAATTAAAATTAAAAAATAGCACTACCATTCAACCACCAGTCAACCACCGCTCAACCACCGGTTCACAGTGACAGTGGGGGTCATCAATGGTGGCCAGTGGTCATGGACGGTCAAAGTGTAAAACTCACCAACTATCAATGCAAAGTTCACCAACTGACAATGGAAAGCTCACTAAGAAATAATGCAAATATTGTAGAGTGTTTCTACGGTGCACTTTGGGTACATATCAATATATCATTTTTTGTGGCTTCTCACATAATTTTTTTAATTTTTTTATTTAAAAAAACAAATGATTATCTAAGTAGTAAAGAAATACTTATTTTCCTCATATGTAGGTTCATGATGGACTTTAGGTCCACCATAAAATTTGCTAATATTGTAAATCAAACATGTGATTTAAATTAATATCATATAATTGAAGATTATACTACCACCGTCTTAAAAAGTATGTCACATTATACAAATCAATCAAAATATTAAGTTTTTTCAATCATTTCATTTAAGGGTTAATGTAGAAAAAATGAATAAAATTAACAAATTTAATAATTAAGTTAAAAATTTTACAAAATAAGATGTAACAAAAATATTTTATTTTATTAAATAATAAATAAAAATTCAAAAAATAATAAAAATATTGTAATTTTTAATAATGATGTGTGTCATTTTTTTAAGGATGGATGTAGCATAAAAAAAACTAAAAAAGACCATTAATTTACTCAATACAAATTGAGTAAGTTTAGATAAAAATATGAGATGATCCTTTCAAGAGAAAAACAGTGAAACATTTCGTAAAATAGTGGAGTAGTTGACAAATAAAGAATTGCTCAATTGTTCTCAATTCCATTGGACTTGGAAGAAGAGAACGTCTAAATCAAATGCTAAAATCTTGCAAATTTGTGCCGTCGGTCACTCTGTAATGGCGACATTCCGACGGGCAGCTTGCTGTTCTTGGCAGTGATCGTCAACAAGACAAGGTATGCTTTTCATTATCATACTTTGATGTGATTTCTGGGACTGGAATTCAATCGCCATGAGAGTTGGATGAATTGAATTCCTTCATCGCTAAACCCTTGCTTCTCTCCCCAGCGATCGGCCATCTCCTTCTCGCCCGATCTACTTCCCAATCAGAGACGCCTCGGCCATCGCTTGTAGCTTCGCTTTGAGTGACTTCTACAAGAGATCTGAGCAGTTTTTCCACCCTCATAAATCAATGCTTTGTGAAAGATCTGTGCCAAGAGATCTTATACGGGTAAAGCTGATGCCTGTATCTCTGCATTTTCCCTCATATTTAATTTTTTTATAATGTCTTTGAAAAAGCCTCTTTCTACCCTGATAAATCAGAGCACATCTCGGATTTTATTATTCCTTTGCATTAGTTTAATGCCTGGTTGTATTTGAAATATGTTTTTAGAGTTTAAAACATCTATTGTAAAAAAATAAAATAAATTAATCTAATTGCAATTATGCAAGAAATTTCTATTATTTTAAATTTAATCCATTTTAAAATATAGACTTCCATAGATGAAGGGCATAATGTCTTTAAAAAGAATTGAATCCATTCCAAATATTGGAAATCAAATCAGTTCTGTTATTTGTTTATTTATTCACTTCAAACGTTAGAATTCAATTCCCTTCGATTCTCATCCACAATTTGTTTTCAAATGCCTTGTTAGTCGTCTGTAACCATTTTAGATGTTAAACAGCAGAATTATGTTAAATAAACTTATTCACTGCTGCATAACTTGATGAATAGTTTGGGTGTTTATGGTATTGTTGCCTTTTTTTTTTTCTTTTTCTGGTTATTTAGCATTTTGGCATCTAAGGTGGAGTTGCAGGGAAGTTCATAAATCACTATGGGGTGTCTGAACCAGCAAATTGAAGTCAATGGCATATGTTCAGAGCCCAAAGGTGGCATGGGTAAGCCATCCCGGAGTGCCTTGGCTTGCATGGTGAACTCAGAGATTGGTGCGGTTTTAGCTGTGATGAGAAGAAATGTACGATGGGGGATTCAGTATGCCTCTAGTGACGACCAGTTAGAGCATTCTCTCATTCAATCCTTCAAGGAACTACGGAAAAAGATCTTCTCATGGCAACACCAATGGAATATTGTTGATCCATTAGTCTATCTCCAGCCATTTTTGGATGTGGTCCAATCTGATGAAACCGGTGCACCAATTACAGGTGTTGCTTTGTCAGCCATTTACAAATTCTTGACCCTTGAGATTCTTGATTCGACTACTAAGAATGTAGATAAGGCTTTGCATCAGATAGTTGATGCTGTCACTAGCTGCCGGTTTGAAGTTACGGATTCAGCCTCTGAAGAAGTTGTGCTGATGAAGATTCTTCAAGTTCTTTTGGCGTGCATGAAAAGCAAGGCATCAATTTATTTGGGAGACCAGCATGTATGCAATATAGTAAATACCTGTTTCCGGTTGGTCCGCCAGGCAAGTGCCAAAAGCGA